TACTGCCCAGCCACAGATTGAGAAAAACCTAAACAGGAAGATTAATACTTTATACATGATTTTCCTTCCAACAGAACATCTTAAGTCTCCCCTGGCTTCTCAAATATTAGATATGAAAGATATAAACTACAACATTTATCTATTTTTTCTATCAAAATGTACACTAACAATAAACTATTCAAAAATCACACCAAAGAAACTCTGCTGATAAAATGATATCATAGAAGGCTAAAGGATCCAGTTGGCATATAATTTTCAAGGCCTTCAAACTTATTTGAAACTGTACAACTCTGATGACATGCATTAGGCTAACTGAAAGCAAAAGTTGGGACTTGAAAATCCTAATAACAATACACATCAACCAAAGCAATTTAATTTCACAAAATTAAATAAAATGGTAATTTGAGGTCTTTTATAATATAAAAAAAGATCATCCCAATCTGGCTGCTTCACAGGCTCCTTCTATGTTGTTAAAATTCATGCAGTGTGTTTATATATACAGCTCCAATGCTTTTCTGCAGACATGCAGAATATTAAAACACACACTGAGGAGAAAGGAGAAATTTGATCAAAACCATGTGAATAAACAGGAAAAAGATACTGATTAGTTGACGTCTTGTGTGATGTAACCAGAAGCATGTGAATAAGCTAGCTTGTTTTCAGCAGAGGTTTTAGATTTTATCTTGACTTAATAACAACAAGAATATGACATGTGTTTCTAAATGTATCAAACCATATCAATAGTGAATGTAAACGATTTGATGTAAAAAGTCTAGCTTGTACCGGCAAAGGAACAATAATGGGGACTATTTCAATAAGATTGCTTTAAAATAATATTAATACATCCACATAGTAACTGATAATCAAAAATTGTATCCAGATATAATTTTAAATAGTCAAAGTGTTGACACTAAAATCAAGTGCTGTTTGCATATTTTCGATACTGTTTATTTTAGATTTCTGGATTGTGTGCACATTTAAAGAACAAAACTTTGGCAGTCTATAAAATATGGTGAGATTTTGTTCTCTTTGGGTTATTTATTTGAACATGTACCTAGTTTTATTTTTTTGTATCACTGCAACCCTAATATAGTCCTATCTAGAGACTTATAAACAAATACATTTGAATTTCATTCAGTTATTCATGAGAAATTAGTGACATTTTTTTAAAGACAATCTAAGGGTTAATAATAGAAACCTTCATGTAATTAATTTTTAAAATACAAGTGAATGCAGTAGGAAAAAACAGTATTTCTATATTATGTGAAGCCTGTTTATTAGTTTTTGAACAGGCTCATCTTAAGCTGCTTTCTGCAGCATGGTGAGAATATCCCTGGTCAACACACAAGAGCTATATAAAGAATATATTTACAGATTTTGTTTTAAAAAAATATTATAAATATGGAACAGTGTGACTTTTGTAGGCCAGTTAGGACTACTGAAATGAATCATATTACCTAAAAGTAGCAGCAATGAGAAATCTCCTTTTTTACCTTTATTTTGCAGGACTTTCTTAAAAGTTAATACCTCTTTAAAGATTAACAGGGACATTGTAAATCCAGAAATATTTTTAGAAAAACTAGACAAGTGGACTTTAATTCCAGGCACTGGCCTGCACTTAGTTCCCACTCAGTATCAATCCAATATGCATATTCACACTTTCCTGCAATTGACCAAAAATAACTCTTAGGCCCTGCCTACAAAAAGCCAGGTTAAGGTAGCTCCCAAAAACTTCCTGGTCAGGTAAGAGTCTCATCAACATGATAAGGAGGTGAAAGCAGAAATATTTAAAACCTGTCCACTGAGATTTCTGTTATTTCTTAAAGCAAAATTTCCAATGACTCAATTAGCTGAAGAGAGAACATAAGAAAACACATCTTTATCACTGCTAAAACTTCTAACCAAATGTGCAGTTCTACCCCGACTTTGCCTTGTAAGTCTGTAGATAAGCTGCTGCTGTAGATAACATTCATTCTAAAATTTCAAATATCACTGAATTCACTGCTATATTTAAAGTGAAGGACATTTCTGAAAAGAAAAGTCTCAATGAAAAAAAAAAAAGCTTCACCATTCAGAAATGAAAAGACTGAACGCAGGTGGCAAAGACTGGAATACAGGTTCACTATGACATCCAGAGTCTTTAAAGTTGTAACTTCAAATTGAAAAACGTAAAAAAACAAGAACATTAATAATGCTTTATGTGCGACAGTCGAAAGTGTCTTTGAGTGTAGTATCAGGGCCTGTGATTAATATGTTAACTACTTCATTGAAAAATATAAAAAGATTAGAGGTGCAGTCTGCTCATCAGTATCAGATAAATTATCAATGTTGTATCCAATTAGAAATGACTTTGAATAAATTTCTCAATTTCACCAAGTAAACTGCAAATACCTGCATATAAGGAATCATATGCAAAAACTTCTTCCTGCTGCTGTCTTATTCTCTTAGCCACAACTTAACTTGAGAAAGCATTTCCTGTCATAATGTCTAACTTAACTGAAGTGATACATAAGTCAGGTGTTTTCCCCAGGGCCTAAAAACAACCGCTATTTAACAGCTGTTAAAAAAGAACAAGCTGTGGTTGCAGAACTACAGGACCACTCTCAAACCTCCTCTTAGTCATTAAGATTATTTTTTTTAAAAGCCGTTTCTGCAGTTACACACACCTTCCTATCAATGACCAGCCACTTCCACGTCATTCAGTGAGGCTTCCATAGTAACCAGAGCACAGAGACTGGTCTTGTCAAAGTTTTCAGTTACATCTGTATAAATGCAGATGTTGGAAGAACCACAGTGCTGGTATTATAGGTCCTTGGTGCAGCAGTGAACATAGTTGATGCTCCGTTTTATTAGAGCACCTGGAAAACTGGGTCTTGTAGCTATAGCAATGGACTGGTGGACATAGACTTATGTGTAAGTTGGTGACTTTACATCATAACCCACAGAATTCCCATGTGTCGTTCCCCTGGGATCCATCTTAGTGCCCCTCCTATTCAACATACATGCTTCCCCTAATTCATATTGTAATTTTTTTTTTTTAAGATAAAATACCATAACTATGCAGATGACACACAGCTGTACTTAAATTGTCCCAGGTTTACTAATTCAGCAATCTAATTGTCTTAATACTGAAATGAACTATATAAATAAACTTGGCTTGCCTGTTTGGGAAAGTTTAACGTTTATTATGTTTATTGTATCAAAGCTATTCAGTTAAATGTGAATATTTCATCAACACATTTTCTCCTCTCTGGCGTTTGTGTGGATTGCCTTGTCATCAGTCCAAAGAAATGCCTCTTTTCTATGTTGGGTCAAGTTGAATACAACCAATTGGTGAGTACTTTTAAGCTAAACAGGAAATGCAACAGCTCATGATATATACCATCCGAATGATTCTAGCAGTAAGGGAGGAGGAAGGAAAAGGAAGCTGGATGCTTCCTATCGATAGTTCATTTAGCATAAGAACCTACCAACGGTCATATGGGTTTGATAAGAAGCCGAACCACATTTTTCTCAGATAGGAAGTTTTTCCATTACTTGCTTTGTCCATTAAAAATTTTAACTAAAGACGCTCTTACTACAAAGAGCAAAACATCTTCAAATATACATAGAAAAAGTATAGCTGTTTTCTCTTGTTTTCTTTTGGCTCTGCCTGTAATCTATTAGTGGAAATCCAGATGATGATGGTTTTGCAAAGTTCTTACAGTTAATTCAGCAACATTAGACTTAACTAGGGGCTCGCCTTTGAATGTATGTGTGTGCATTATCCTTGCCTACTCCAGTTGCCTACAATGTTTAAAACATTTATACATGAATATAAACTGCATCAGCAGTTTTACACTCTTCAGATCAGAACCAATTTTTGTGTTTCAGCTATGAACATGGTTTGGACTAAAATTGATACCAACTCTTACTCACTCTGGCTAAAGCTTGTGCCATAACTATATCAATATATTCAGGAAAAGAGACCTTTAGGAAACTAACCTAAGTATTATTGAATGGTGGAGTTAGAGGGCAGCACCATGTAGTCCAGCGCTTTGCCTCCGAAGGAACCAAACTGATTAACTTCACAAAACACAGGGTATAAATATAAAAGTAAGTTATGCAGAAATATTGAAACATCTCAATACATCAGCAAGATAGCTGAAGCTTTGGCACAAATGTATGAAAGTATCTACTGTCCATCAGAAGCTTGTATAAAAAAGTACTAAAACATTTTATTTGAAGAAATTTGTAAAAGGACTTTTCAAAATCAGTCTTTCATTATTCTGGTTTTTAGCACATAAGAAAAAGTTTTTTTAATTTAACTGACCACAAATATAATTTAATGTAAACATTCTACAATGTGATTTACACCCATTACATAGGATACATGAAAATCCTTAATTATATAGATCTCTTTTAAATTTTCTTTATACTTTTTTTTTTGCTGTCCCATTTGAGTATTGAACAGCTAATTAATAAAAACCAGAATGAAATAGGTTTGTATTTAGTCAGTTTAGATAACAGCTTTCTAGCGGTAACTTCCACTCATACCAATTTGTTCAACAATTTAAAAAATATTGTATCTGTTTATATTAATACACAATATATTATGCCAGAAATGATAAATTCTAAGCCGCGTCTGTGATATTTTATCTGTTTCCATTTTTTATCCTACTTTCACTCAAAAGTGCAGATCCAATGCAGCTGTTTTATTGTTTTTGTTTTTTTATGGTTTATTATTTCCATTATATCCTCTTGCAATTAAGTATTTCATCTCCACAGATATACTAGTTTAAGAGCTTCCATAGAAGTCAGGGTTTGTTGGCTTTGGATAAAAAAAAAATGGCAATGTTCCAGTTATAATTTATATGTACACACACATATACATTTAATGTACAAGCTTCAGTGGGAGGCTGTAATGCTGTCAGATTAAAGGAAATTATTGCAATCGTTCTCAGTGGATGACAGCGTTTCAGTGCTCGTCCCACTCTACAGCTCGGCGTTAGTGCGCGCTCCCGCGGACTCGCTATAGAAAACAAAGCTAAGCGTCTTCCATACCAGCTAGGGCTGCAGACTCGAGGACTATCCGAATTTATTCTGGATACATGATCGCACAGAATATGGATCTACAGGGGGTGTAGCGTTGTTACAGACCGAGCCTTCTCGGCTGAAATGACGGCAGGTCACTAACGAAAGCGACGAAAATACCATCTGTTTAGTTTAATTTTTTTCCTCGGGGTTCTTTGTCTTGTCCACCTAACGATAGCAAAACATCATTTTCATCTCAATTGCACGAAATTCAGCTAGTGATCACTAGCTGCAGCCGGGATGTATCACCATGTTTTCACCTAAAAGAATCAGCTAAAACGTCGGATTGTGAAGCAGAAGCAGAGACCCCTCACTCCCGGGTCCCAACGGGCTGACACCTGGACCTGAATCTGTTAGCCGCAGCCGCGAAACCCACTGTTTTCGGCGATATGGCGGAGCAAGGCTACTCATCCTGGTGAGTGCGCACAGCCGTTTCGCTACCGATTAGTAGCGGCTGCCGAACATTAGCCGCTGCTAACGTGAGACGCTGCTAACATTAGCCGCTGCCACTGCCAACACAGACTACGCTCTGTCAGAAAAAAACACAAAAACAATTAAATATACACCTGTCACTCCACAAATACACCACTGTTTTCATTCCCAATGTATTTATTTCCATGTACGAACACGTATAAACCAAATTATTAAATGTAACTATATTTCCGATCATCTGGGTAGCTAGCGGTGGCTAATGCTATGCTAACTTTATTCAACTGCGGTCAAACCGAATAATGTTATTCAATAGGGAATGGAAACTATCTGTGTTGTAAATAGAATGGAGTGCTATTTGGGTTTGCTGGTTGCATATGTGATGTTTTTTTTCCTGTAAACACGATAGATTTGACGGAAAAACACGGCAGTATCTGCTCAATAAATGCAGGTTCTTAAGCTAGCGACTTAGCTGGCTAGCATTTTTTTTTCGTCGAGCCACTGCTCACAATAACAAAGGTTATGCTAATCTGGCATCGCAGTCGCAACAAAAACTTCAAATTATCTACTATAAAAGGTCTATGGTTTTAAATTTACTTTGTTTTTAGATTTGATACGAAATATGTCCCAGTTTAGCTGTTGGCTGTTTTGATTGAGATTGTTTAGGGAAGTGTAGATTTAGCAAATTAAGTAAGCAGGGAGAGTGATGTTTCCAAGAATACATAATTATAAACTGATTTATCGATCAGTTGATTAATGTCGCTTTAATGGTACAAAAGGGTTGAGTCTGGGTATCTTTGCTTCCAATAGTGACAAAAGAAAATCAGAAATTACTTTACAAGACTTTCCCATAACCTCTCAATGATCACTAGTATAATATGCAGCCTTCATTTACAGACTTTATTTAACCAGAATTGCCATTTTAACTAAATATATTTTACAAGAGAGAGAGTAAGTCAAGTAGGTCAGCCAGAAAAATGCATCCTAAAAAGTTAACAAAATACTGTCCTATCAAAAGTTCTATTTGTTTACTTGAAAATATTTACACAAAGATGAGGCGGATTGCAACAATTTACCATATTGACTCATTCAAAATAACAACAGCTGGAAGCAGAAGTTTGGATGTAAGTTTCCATTCAAATCTGAGGGCTATCTTGCTCAATTCAGTTCTTGCATTTTTGAACTACAGTTGCAAAGTGATAATTTCCTATTTGCATCCTCTTTTTCCATTGCTTTTCAGCTGAACAGTTTTTAAGATGTAGCTGATTTTATTTTTGTACTCTGAAATTTTTTATTTACAGTGTATAACAAAACAGAGGTTTTAAGGAAACGTACTGTTTCATAATCCACAACACCTTTACGTTTTACAGTATGTATGGCTTAACATTCTGTTAAAAAGATGCTTGAGAAGGTGTTGCTGGTTGGGTGGAACTTGATGTTTGCACCCCATTCACCCCTGTCTGCCAGCCACATGCATAAAAGGCTGCAACACTATTCCCTCCTTCCAATACAGAAAAAAATGTGACTAGAAATATTTCTGTCCATAAAAAACACACAGGAAATCTTTATTAGTACCTCTTACTTATTCCAGGGGTTCCAAAATCATTCCATGCAATGGCCCCATTAAAGTTTGACTAACACATTTGTCAGGTAAAAATATAACCTGACATATATTCCAAACCGTATTATGTTCCCTCAAAAATTATCACAAGTTTTATTTTTAATAAAAAAATGTACACAATAGTGATGACAATGTTTAGAAAATATTTTATGATTATAAAAACATAATTTTTTTCAGGTGTCTTTTCTTTTTTCTTTTTTTTTCTCCATATTTTTCTCTAATTTTTCTGAGCCCCTGTCCCCAGGGGCAACTGCTCCCACTTTGAAACTACTAACTGGTTCTTTGGTAACACTGTTTTAAAACTGCAGTTGGAATGCAACAGATGGTAGGGAGAGAGTCCTTCTACAAGTTGTTTGCCTGATTAGAGAGCCTGACTAATTACTGCTGATATCAGCTTAATATCAGGGAAGTTTGACAGTTTCTCAAGCACAAAGGGACTATATTTGGCACAGTGAGGTCTTGAGAATTTGTACACTACTTTCTTTTCATTTTTCCTGTAAATTCTTTGTGCCAAAATATGAATAAATAAATTAACTGAAAATGTTTAATTATGTAATAGTCAGTGTTATGCAGGCTTTTAGCTTGGAATATTTCATAGGTTGTACACCTTGGTGTACCACATCTTCAGACTTTGCGCAGCGGCACAAGCTACATGGGGTTGAATGACAATTGTCCTTCCTGGTAGGGGACAATATGCATGGGGTGGCTAATATGGAATATAATCCTTGCTGGTCTTGGAATTGTTAACTGTCAGATTTGGAATTCAATTCTTTTAAGCACACTCACAAAAAAATATATCTAGTACATATTGAAAGAACAATAAGAAAGAGAAAAAGAGTTCTAAATTGATACCTTACTTTAAATTAATATTGCTGGAAATCCCTAGTAATTCCAGTTTGAAACCAGTGATTAATAATTTAATGTTGTTAGTCTTTACCACAACATTTTATGCAAGTCACATTTCTTAACTGATTGCTCTTGAAGAAGCTGGAGATTGCTCTCTCCGTTCTGTTCCTCTCTTATTTTTCTCCAAATTCACAAACTCCTTATCAGTTATGTTAAAAAAAGATTATATAAATAAATCGTGGTCCGCAAACATCCTTATTCACATGTTCACTTTCCCGTTGTATGTTCACATTTATGGACTGCATTTAAAAATGTCAAACATTTTCAATTCAAACTATAGATATGAAATAATACACTATAGGAAAAAATGGCATAAATCATATTATAGGTCATGAAATCAGTGTCAGTTTGGTCTGTCAAAGAGGCTGCCTGTAGGAATATTAAATGTCCAGCAGGTGTCAGTATTCAGTGACACAGTATGGATACAATATCAATACAGTTTGCAAATGTGTCGAAAGGCTTCATGACGCCTCATGAACCCATCACTAACAGACAATATTGTCCCAAGGAACCAAAAAAAACTCGTAATCAACTTGTCAGTTGATGAGTTTTCGTAAACTTTTCAACATTTCAAGCCTACGTGTTTGCAGCGCAACGTAATAGTCCCTAGGGCTATTGGCTATTCCACCAATAACAGCGCCCCTTCATGCTGCGTCAAGCTGACATACAACCAATAGGATGCAGCTCTCATGATTCGCAAGATGTGAACTTAACGCGAGATTACACCGGATGGTGAATTTTTAACATTTGAGCGAAGTTTCCGTTGGGAAAACAGGCCGTACAACTTATCCTTTTTCAGTAAAGGCCATACAGGGTACAGTTGTACACATGGCTAGCTAAAAACCTTGTGTTATGTTTAGGCCTGTGACTAACTATTATTGTAATAATCGAATATTTGATTCCTAGATATATTAATATATTATTTCTCACAAAAAATAATTTCCATATCCTTCCAAAATAGAACATTTGGACTGACAGAGCTAATAAAATCATACAAAATGTGATGCATCTTTTGTGTTTTCTTAAGATATTATCAATAAACAAATAATTGTGCAAGTTGGTGTTCAATGGCTAAAGACAAAAGGGAACCAGTTAGGAAAAAAACTAAAAAAAACATGCCCCCCAGTGGTGCAACCAGAGCAAAACAGTAGTGATGTTTAAATGCATAAAATGTCACAAATCGATTGAATTACTTGCATGCTGATCCAATTCTCAATTGTGGTAATCTCTCAGGCAGATTACAATTTCATTTAGCCAAATCCAGTGAGAATATTCTGACTGACATGTTTACATTCATTTTTAGTCAGCCCTTTATTCTAATAATTTCAGGTGACGCCACGCTCACGTGACTACTCAGCGCGTCCGCCATATTGGGTGGCAGCCTTAGGCAGTATTGACAGTGAAAAATGGTGAAAACGTGTGTAATTGTTGGTTGCACGGCCCGTGGAGGTGGATATCAACGCTCTTTCTATCGCATACCAGCCGTAATCGTGAATCAATGTGAAAAAAACAAAACAGCTATCTGAACAACGCCGTCACCTATGGCTGACACGGATATCCAGGTCCGATTTGGACGGTGTTAAGCTGGAATACGCCAGAGTCTGCAGTGCTCACTTTGTCACAGGTAATTAACTGTCAAGCATTTAAAACATGTAAGAATATATTAATAATAGGGCTTGGGCGTCATGACGTATTACTTTCCGTGGCCGCAATGTTGACTGCCTCCGCCGCCGCTACTCAGACTACTGCCTATGACTACCGCGTACTGGACTCCCTCTCTCAGCCGTGTTTTAATTTGATTAATTTCACCTTAACTTGATTTCAACCAGCGGGAAAGGGCTCAAATATGTGAGAAACCCGGAGGGTTTTGGGAGGTTTGGCAGTTAACGTTACTAACCAAACCTTTGAAACACATAGCAGCTAGTTAAAAGTACATTACATGCCTGAGTGGTTGTTAGCACTAACGGTTAGCACTGTTTGCTGGCTTTATGAGCTGCAGCTCCTGAACCCATCCATTCGTAAACTGCACATGAGACTCCAAGGAGTTGTAGCTTTGGAACTGGTCGCGCACCGCCGGCCGTTAGCCACCTATCATAGCGAGCCCTGCGTCGGATTGTTTACATTTTTACCATCTTATTAAAACTCACCCGTCCACGTATGATGGCGATTTCCTTCATGTACATCACTTCGACATCTCGTACCCAACCAGATGTGAACTGGTTGTGAGCCTCTAGACCCTTGTACGCTCTCATTTCCTCAAGAGTGTGCAGAGGGTTTTCACTGAACACCAGGTAATGAACTATGTCACCGTGCTCTACATTGGGCCAATCATCTGGATTAGTGCTAAACAAGGCACCGTGGAGGGAATAGGGGTCCATATGGTCGATCACGGAACATTTCCTCAGATATGTTCCATGATCTGGTGGCTCTAGAGTGCTGGCGTACTTATCCATTCGCGA